ACTAGGATCCTTCTTAAATAATCCATGCCGGTAAGGATGTGGCACATGTCCTTTAATAGGCAATTATACTGACAAATGGTACCACAAGTAAATGATTATCATCAAGCCCTCTAAACCGGGTGGTTTGCCACCAAATGGTACCATTACATTACGGTTATAGCCAGAGCTCATATGCTCCCCTTGAGATATGAATCAATAGGATATAATTGATAGGGCACAAAACCCACTGTTAGCTAAGGTGGATTTAAATTTGTCCCCTTTGGTAAATATTCCCCCCAGGTCTATAAGGTACCCTTAGATGATGCAACCCATAGCTACTTATAAGGATTCCTCTGCCAGGTTGGATCAACTAACTCCTCTGAATAAGTAGACCAGTGACCAAAATGACCCGAGCTAACAAAACCATGAGATCATGATCAGGTCCATCTTCTATTCCCCTACCATCCTCTTTAAGTATAAGATGATGAAATTTTTATTTTAAATATTGAATATCACATCCCTTAAACCCATGTTATTATTATATGTTTGATAATGTGTATATCTTTGATACTCTACATATCTGATCGATGACTAACCTTAATCAAAAGTTCTCTTTCATAATTGGAAGGGGTAATTAATAATAGGGGCTTGCGCCTATAGGAAACCAGAACTCAGATCATAAAGTCCTCACAAAATAAGGGCAAAATCTCTGGGTAGTGTCTTACTACAAATCCAATATTCCTTCTTGAAATTTATCCCAAAACTTAATATGTTAAAACTCCCCCAAAAAGCAATGGGGAGGTCAAATTTTTGAAGCCCCACATCGAGACTAATACTCCAGAAATTAACTTTTCCCAAAGAAAATTAAACTTTTCAAAACCCCTTTTCAAAATTCGACAAATAACACACATGTGTTATTTCAATCTCGAGGAATACCTGGATTGGCCCATTCAGATTTGACTATTGTACCATGCTTCCTTCCATGGTTCCCTCCCAGTTCCAAGCTTTCTCACCCACTTCATTTGATGTCTATCCTTTGATGAACTGGATAGGATTTCTTACTTCTCATATGCCTTTTATATGTAAAATTTATTTCTCTATTACATTCCTCCATCACATAAAAATGATTCAATTACTTTTTTAGGGATGATGAGATTAATTTATGGTATTCTAGGTTATGATATAGACTTGTTGTAATTAAACAAAAGATAAAGTCTATAAAAATGAATCTAAGTTATTTTTCTCATGTCAGTATAAATTTTCACCTTCTTTGTCTTGCTAGATAAAATAAGTATTTAATTAAGGGGGTATATAATTAAATTGCATATTTTATGTAAATGGAAACCCTCTTCTTATGATATTGGTAAGACATTTTCATATGAGCTCATTCTTGCCCCAAATTTTTGGCTCCCATAACTCCAATTTATCTACCAAAACTACTATCTCTTGCTTGTGAGAAAGTAGTTAGATCAGGAAACTTTTTATTGGCCCTCCTCCACATTATCTTAAACATTTTATCCTCCCCCAACTCTACTAGTGCCACTGGCAACTCTCAGCCAAGACCTTAACTCCCCTACCATTGTCTCCCCCATAAAATACCTCATCTTATTCCCATTAAAACTCTAACATAAATACGCAATTTCCCTTATAATCTTATTAATATTGCCGACCCACGCAAGGAATGTATTAGCTTCACCATCACTACTGCGCCCGCCCCCTGCAATAACACCACCCATCCGGCTGCTCGTCCTCCTCCCATCAACCTGCTAAGCTCGTGGATTTCAATAACTATATCTACAATGCTTGCCTGATTAATCTGCTTCATAGTGGTCTTATTTATAGTTAGTTCAACTAACAAACTAATAACCTTATCAAATGTCTTCTAGATCACGCCTTTTACAACAATACTCGGATAACCTCTTTTATTTTATCTCACTTCAATAGTATGAGCCCCCTCTCTTCTAACTGTTCTCCTATATTATTTTAAATGGAATCTTCCATCACTGCTTGGAAAAGATCCATGTATAAGAACTACTGGTCAACTCAATTTTCCTTTTTTGACATTGTACTACTACTTGGAACATTGTTGTCAAAGGAGTTCCTATATTTACTTTATGCAATAAGCTAAAAAATGTCAAAATGGTCCTTAAAATGTCGATTGGTATTCTTCAACTTTTTGACACAACAACATCATCTATTTAAAGAAAAAAATGTAAAACTATTTATGACAGTTTGCAATCTAACCCCATGGATTGTTATATTCTTGATGCTGCCCTCTCTAATTAGGAAAAGCTTATTCAAGGCAATATTTATGAGAACAATCAAAACAAACTAAGGGATAAATATACTTAGCTCTCCCAAGGGGGACCTTCATGATATTTCCAAGCATATGTTTGAACTCTGGATCATCTCAGGAGATTTTATTTGTGTGAGAAATACTGATGAAAAAATTGGTGGGACCCCCCATCATCCTATTAAGCTCTTAATCCCCCATGATCCCCCATCATCCATTCTCTCTTGCTAGTTTTTCAAAAATAATGGCTCTATTTGGGTGAGGCCTAATATATCTTCCTCTTATTTTGAAAGCTTCTACATAAAATCACTCTCAATTTGAGAACTCTAATGGACATAAGAGTTTCTATTGATGACCAACTATGTTTCTTTTGGGATCCTTAGCTAAATGCTTACTCGCTAGTTGAAAATTTTAGGGTTGCTATTCTTGATCTTTTTCATTGCTCCCCCAATATTTTAGTTTGACATTTTATTAATGGTGAATGGACTCTTCCCAATGATACTCTCAATCATATTGTAGCTCAAATTTATAGTATCTACATTCAGGATGACAAACATACATGTTTTTGGATAGGGAAATTTTTTTTCAATAAAATGACTTATTTCAATTGTTATATTGATTTGCCCAAACTGACATGTCTAATTACATTTGGTTTGAAGGATTTTCTATAAACTCTGCCTTCCTCACATGGAAGAATATTTTGGAAGGCCTAAGGATTGTTGACATGCCTTGCAAAAAGGAATCATGGTTAATGAAATTGTATATTTTTCTCTCAATATAATAAGAACCACTATCACTTTTTTTTCTTGTGAGTTCTCTTTATACGTCCTTGAGAGATAAATCCTTTATGATACTACGACCTCTTTTTCTTATTGGCTTTGGACGGTATGTTTCTTTTTCGGGTGGAAGCCAATTATAGTTAACCTTATGATGTGGGTAGGTTATTTTTCTAGTTGTGCAGGTTTGTTACTTTCAAGAGCATATTTTCCTTTTTTTATGGAAGTTGATGTAACATCTATTGTTTCGAGACCAAGATAATTAATTTAATCTAGAAAAAATTTCAGCTTAATTCTAATTTAGTCATTAATTATAAGTCAATTAATGTCTACAAAAGCTCAAATAAGATCGAAATTGGAATGGGGTCGAGAAAATCATAGGGAGGAAAAATGCTTATTGGGTGTCATGGTGTTGGGACTATTGGAGCCGCGATATTGTCCTCTCTATTTGTGAAGGAAATTGGGCCAACACAGGGTTCTGTTGCTACGACATTTGGCTTTTGAGTTTGAGAAATGTGGGAGCATATGGAATATTTCATGGCAGTGAAATGACACTATGGATGTGACCCCCCCCCCCCCCCCCACACACACACACACACACAAATGTTGATTATAAGAATAAAAATTTTATCAGTTGGTTTTTACTTATGTTGACTCTTTAGAATTTTTTGTTAAAAATTGGTAATCTTAAGATTTATTATGATCCCCAAAAAAGTCTTAAAATGATGCTTTGAAGCTTAACTATGAGTATTATCTTAAGCAGTTGAAGTTGCAAAAATCTTAGTATACATATGAAGCATCTTTTGCAATGTGATATACCTACATTTATTATTATGTTAGCATATTGTGCATCTATTTATTCTATAAGACTCTGAATTTATGATCATATGGCCGATGTTTGGATGTGACAAACTGATGAAGTGCATAGTAAAATTTTCTTTGGCATGCCCATCTTTCTATTAAAATTTGTTATGTTCTATTCTATTTTTTATTCTGACCCTATGTGCTTTATGCATGTGCTGGAGATTTAAAGGAGATATAATTGGAAGTGGAGTTATAATAGGAGGGTCTCCTTTATTTGGTGAAGGCAGACTGTGGGAGGAATAAATGAAAGTGGAGTATTATAAACAGACTTCGGGACATGCATGCCATTCTGCATATTATTTCATATTACACTCATAAAATGAAAATTATGTTAAAATAGCATAACATAATTATAAAGGAAAATTTTGAAAGCAAGTGTTTCATGTTATTTCTGTACAAATGATAATATGAAATATCTATTCAAAGGGTGAATGAAAGTACAACTCTATCCTGTTCTGGAAATCTATGAAACTGCAAGAAATTTGCATAAATGTGAAAAATATGTTATGGTAAATATCAGAGAAAATATTGTGACTTTATATTGTTTGAACTTATTAATTAAACCCTTGGTATACTTTTTTGCTATCATTGAATAAGGGCGATCATGAAAATATTTGAATGAAAAATATTGTCTTTCGGATAAGGGTGATGATGAAAATCTTTGAATAAAAAATTATATTATTTATTTTTTCATTATAATATATCTTTGCTGTCATTGAAAATATAAAACCCAAAATCTCTTAATTTGCAGCCTAAGCTCTCAACCAACAAGCCAACGTGAGCTGTGTAGTGCTCATTTGTTGCCTCTATAGAAATAGAATTGTACTAACACAATAATAAATTAAATAAAAAATGTAAATTTTTATTTATTTCAAAGGTTAATACAAAAAATGCATAAAATATCCACCCAGTTTCCGGCAAAAATTTATTGAAATCCCAAGTCAATTAAATTTGAAAGAAGAAACTTAGAACAAACTTTTCCATGGCCAGCTCTTTCAGTTGTAGACTAACAACATAGACCTGAACAACATGAAATGCAGCACATTGTCCTCGAGAGCAGGAAGAGTGGCTTGACAGCACAGCAGAACTCAACAATAGAACATCACCCTCTTAACATTTTCCTTGAGAGCAGGAAGAGGCTTGACAGCACCACCTCCAGCTACACGAGTGCTGCGTGGTTCATTTGCAGCTGCAGCTCTTCCAGCCGCAGCTCTTGGCTGTGAAACATTTTCAGACGTCATGGGCTCCATATAAAACCTTGCCCTGGAAGCAGCAAGATGAGCATAGTATGCAGGCGGCACTGTCAAAACATTGAGTCAGTTAACAGAATAAACTTACATCCCTCATAAATCGAGTTAACAGATTTCTCACAATTGAATGAAAATGGAAATAAATATTACCAATTGATACTGATCTTGTGCACCTTGCATATCTGCAAAGAGAAAAGATAGATATGCAGGCTATTAACTATAATAGCATCAAGAAGGAATAACCAAAGGAGGAAATATGAAGCGCATCTTATTACGTGTAGCATAAGCTATTTGTAAGCGTTTGCATTGCATCAGCGGAGAAGTTGTTTTCATCCCATAATACATGATAATGTGCGGGTCGGCTAGTCCCCTGCAAGCACATTGCATTGTCAGTTATAACATCAAGTAATAAAGTTTAAATATAAGAGAAAAAGAGGAGCTGCATGCCTGAATTCCTGCATGACTACATAGGTAGAAATCAAATTCAGTTGGATGACAGATTTTTGAATCAACCACAGTCCCTGCAATCATTCAAATCAAGAAAAAAATAATGAAAAATGCTTATAATGGAGGAGTATTTGGAAGGTAAGCACCAAATACACAGAAAATAACAAAGCACAAAACATATCACGCATTTATAGTAAATATTGATAAACCTGGAAGGATGTTTCCACTCTTATCTACTGACTGCTGGTCTGAATGGTTGTTTGCAAACAACCTGGTATGATGCCTTTTCTGAACAACCACGAAGGTAACGGGTGGTAGATAATCTGACTGCAACGAGGCACAAGCCTGTGGTGCAGTGCATAAATCACATATTGGTAAAACACAATACAAATGAAAAAAAAAAACAATCATTGACATTAATAACACAAAGATAAAGCATTAAAAAACACTATGCATGCACGTACTTTACGAATTGAATCAAGTTCACGAAGCAGAACTTGATTGAACTGTCCCTCGCTAACACCATCCCTGCAGCCAAAAAAGCACAAGAAATAAGGCAATATAAACCACATTAAATAGAGGAGAATTCTAAAGAAGGATCAGACCTGTAAAATATTATTCGCTCGGGCTTTCTCCCTGTAGCTTTTTTAAATGAAATAAGTAAATCCCTGAAAAAAAAAATGTCAATATGATATTTTCACAAAAATGTCAGATGTAAGAGAAAACTGAATAGAGAACGCACCTGATCATGCCACCAGAAACATTTCCACGCTGTGGATCTGATTCAAGCTTATATAAGTCCTCAATCAGCTCCTGACGATGGGCCTGAGCACTAACAAGTCCAGCATATTTGGTTATTTCTGGCCAGTCCTGAGAAGCAACAACCTACCATATGTCGAAAAATATTTAATAACTGGAAATTCAGACCAAAAGGGCCACAAATAACATTTAGAAAAAAAAAAAAGCTCCACAATAAGTGGATCAAACTTACCGCAGCAATTGAAGGGCTTGAGTCTTCACCAGGCTGAGGATGAGTCACATCTGCACCAAATATAATTGTGGGCCTTTCACTGACCAAAGGCAAGCGCCGTGAGATAGCATCAACCAGCACAGTGTTCCGTCCTCCAACCTACAAATTGCAATTAACTTGTCATAAATTATAGGTAACTATGGCGAAGTACACAAGCAACAGAAAATCAAAATACCAACCTTCACATTAATTTTCAAAGCAACATTGGCAAGGTACTGTGCGCTCATCCTAGAAACATGTTTGACTAAACAACATTGTGAAACTAACCCAATTTCAGTCTCGCATATACGCTTCAGATCCCCTATTACAAGTCAAAAAGTACAATTTAAAAATCTCATGCATATATAAGAAAAAATCATCATCATAAACAACATTATGATACCTAATTATGGTTTTATTTTATGCACCTCTCTTTGCATGACATTATAGCTTTGCAACTGTTTGATGTACTTAATTTCTTTCCTAAACCTCTGAGATATTAATTCTATCAACCAACCTTATAGGCACATTTTCCATTTACATGCATGAACTACCATGTTCATAATTCCACAAATTAATTTCAGTAAGTACTCATTATTATCAATCTCTTATAATAATTTCTCAAACAATCTTTGTTGATTTTGGCATGCATTAATCTAAACATTTTCATTTCAAAGATACCCAAATTAGTTTAGCCTTCTTAGTTTTTACCAACACAAAGAACCCATAGAGAAAAATCAATAACATAATAATGAAAAGATCTAGCAAATAATAAACAAATCGACATACACATAGAAGGTTTTTCTAAAATGAGAGCGAAAGATTTGTTTACCGTAAAGAGAACCATTATTTTCAGGCAATATTACAATAAGTAAATCAAGCTCTTTATGCTGCTGACGTAGAATGGTCATTGCGTCATTATAAAGTGCTTTCAATGCTCTTTCAACTTGATTAGGTCGTGCAGATGACAGTCGAATTACAGGCTCCAAAGTAAATTCCTGAAGAGAAGTTTAAATTATGAAACACCTTTTCAGTAATTACAAGAAATTAAGTAAAAAGAACCATTGTTAAAATTATAGAAATTTTTTCTAGTAATCATAACAAAACTGCAACTAAGTTTACAGATTCCATAATTAGAATACATACCATTCCAGACTTCTGACACATAGAAGCTAGCTCATAACAAAAGCGACGAATATCATTTTCCCTTACATTTTGAGCAAAATTGATGCAGGTCCAGTTGCTGACCCTCCCGCCATTTACCATTTTCTACAGTGAAAAAACAAATATAAAGCCTTTTAATAGCAAGCATAGTGCATGTTATTTCAATAAATTATGCTTTGCACAAAAAATAACATAGAAGATAACCTACACTACACTATTGACATGTATGCTATTAGCATTCAACAAAAAAATAATTTTAACAAAAAAAAAAAGATTAGTTTAAGGATTCCACAAGCATTACATTTGCATATGTTGTAATTGATCAACAGGAATAACTTAAAATGAAACAAACACTGCATCAATAGAAATCCTCCGTATGGAAATTTATTATGTTAATCCTCACAAAATATAAAGCAATCAAATCCCCGAAAAGATATCCAAAATCCCAATATTGGACTGTGGGCTCTGGAAATTCGACACCGACCTCCGCCACTACTTTTCGGTGGAGTTTTAACGGATTAAGTTCCAGAGTAAATTTTGGGAAGGCGGATAAGTTTGTAGATAAGACACTACCTAGAGATTTCATCCTCATTTGCGAGGACTTTATGATCTAAGTTCTGATTTCCTATAGGCACAAGCCCCTATAATTAATTACCCCTCCCGATCACGAGAGAGATCTTTCGCTAGTCATCAATCAGATACGTAGAAATATGGGTTATTTCACATATAGTAGCAACATGGGTTTAGGTGTTTGAAAATTGGAATCTCACCATTTTATACTTAAAGCTGATGGTGGGGGAATGGATGATGGACCTGATCAAGATCCTATAATTTCGTCATCCCGAGCCATCGTGGTTCTAGGTTTACTTAATCAGAGCAGGTAGTCAACCCAACCTAATAGAAGGATCCTTGTCGGTATCCATTGGTTGCTTCGTCCATGTGATGCCCCAGAATCAAATAGTGAAAGGATTCGTCTGACATTCTGATCGATCTCCATTCCAGTTGCCAAACTCGGACCTGAAAATTTAAACCACATATAATGAGCTTACAAAGCCCAGCAGGTCACCAAAGCCTACAACTGAAATCAAAGCACGGCGATGCTATCGGGCCGATCGCCAGATCGTCCCAGGACGATCAGACCAAAAACGATCGGCCTGGACGACTCCCAGAACTATTCTCAGGCCTATATTTTCTACAGTGCCGATCGGCCTGGACGATTATCAATCGTCCTGGACGATCCTGAGAGAAAAAAATCCAAATCAGAGAGGAACAGTAAGGGAACGAGGTCTCACAGTCCAAGGGTACCTTGTATACCTAGGGGAGTATTTTTCTAAGGGGATAAATTTGAATTCACCTTAACTAACATAGGGTTTTGTGCCTTAATAATTATATCCTATTGATTCATATCTCAAGGATTTGATGTCATTAATGAACGTATTAGCTCTGGCCATAATCGTTATCTCGTTGTGTCATTTGACGGAAAAACCACTCGGTTCAGAGGGCCCTAGGTCATAGCCATTTTGCCTGCGATGCTATTTAGCAGCAAAATTGCCAGTAAGAAGACACATACCATGTACTTACTAGAAGAAGATTATTTGAGAATGAATACTATTGATATTTTCGAGTAAGTATTAGCTCTATGTGAGCTGAAGTAAATTTTAATTTGTTCACCTCGGCAAATTATTGCGGAGGGTGGATGGATTTTGCTTTAAGTGATTTGATGGTTGATTTCAATTTTAAACATTTGAATTTTGAAGTTTTTGAGATTTTCTTGGAGTTTATATGGGTATTTGGGTGAAATTTTGGATTTATAGAACTAACTCATCTGCTTGAGATCCATATTCAACATGACCATCATCGGGATGACTTTGAGGTCACTTGAAAATATTTGAATTTTGTGAAAGTTTGAGAGCATTTTGAAAAATATGAAATTAACACCTTCGATTGAGATCTACGATCAACACGACCATCATTGGAGTGTTAATGGACAATTGTATTTTATTGATTGGACCTTCTCGACTCTATCTACTGGTCGACAGAGGATCATGTCCATAGGCTTTATAATTTTATTGATGAATTTCTTTTTTTTTCATAGTCTTTGAAGTCCTTATATGAATGTATAAAATAAATATCTCGGTCGATACAACGACCATATATTTGTTTGATGGTTCGAGCCGTGCCAACTTCTAAATGCTCGCATAGAAGGATCGAGCTCGAACTTGGGTTTATTTATTGACTCGCGTAGTATCCCTAGACATCATGTGTATACCTATAACACACTCATCGGGGCCCATGCAGGTATACAATTGCACTTGCCCCTTTTGTGTACCTATGTGTTTACATATTACAGTTCATGTCTTGGGACATTTTTGTAATATTTTGATGTTGATCAATTGTGCAGGTGACCTTCATTTGAATGCAACATTCTATTTAGATGCTCATACATGCCTTCTGTCTGTTTGTAAGGATGTTGCAGATCCGATGGCTTGTTGTAGCAGCTTATGAATTGAGTTGTTTGCTGCTTTGTACAGGTAGACTGTTGTGCACTACTTATTGCTTTCTGTATGTGAATTATATTGCATTAATGAATCTCTTGCTATTTTCTTATGGTTGACACATTGGGCACACAATGATCTTCTACAATAGCTCATAGGAGTTTGTATACTCGTATCCCTTCGTTGCACTTATTGCATATTAAATCCCCTCTACTTGTAAGGGATAGTTATATTCATTGGTCGTTGAACTACTACAGGTTGTATGAATATGGAAATGATTATTGCATACTTTTGTATTCATCTATAGAGAATGTTATCAACTGTAGGCAATGTTCATTTGCAAGTTGACTTTGATTGTAGGGATATTGCAACATTAGTTGCATGCTAACATGAATTGCTAGGTGAGTTGTATCCATCACCAGCTCCTTCATATAAGTCGATTGATGAATGGTTGTATTTGCTTGTGTATCTCAGTGATTGATTCATAAGAGTTCATAGGCTTTGTAGGTTATCCCTTGCTCGTAGACAGCATGCACTTGATGTACAAACCGATCACTTTTTGCTTACAAGGGATCAATGTATTTGTCTTCCCATAGATGGTTGTTAACTGTAGGAGCATTATTGCATTCATTGTGAGCTCCATTGGGTAAATTTGCAAGAAGATATATTGTTCGATTGATGTTGGTTGTAGGGGTGTCATTATACTCACATCAACTCTTCTAGTGCTGCTTGTAGGGATGTTGTATGCATTGCACATTCTACATGCTTTGCTTATGAACATATCATTACATATATCCCGCCATAATTCATGTGTGTTTCATTGATTGCATTGTTATTAACATGCATGTTGTTCTTGCTCATAAATGATGCATTTATCATTCGTCGCCTACAACAAGCCTTTTGTTTGCTCATTAGCATTTGTATCTTAGTTGACATGATAACACCTTAATGTTGATTGGAGACTTTATCCTGTTGATTGTAAGCATGCCATATGGGAAGTTCCTTTTCATTCAATAAAAATTCCATGTTTATTTACTTGCGCTCAATTAAGAGTTCATCACTTGCATGCATTGAGGGTTCATTCCTCATAAGTCTTGTTTGATTGCTAACATTCATTCGATTGCATTTACTTGCATACTGGCTTCATAGAAGACCCTTGAGTTCATTTGTAGGTTGACAAGCACATTGTATTCACTTGTATGCATCTTGATGTTATTCACAAAGGATCCATAAGTCTCTTGAAGTTGCTCGTCGATAGACTGTGGTGTATGTTATATGCTATTTGTGTCATTACTCAAATTAAATTCTTATTGCTTTGAGTGCATTGAACCACTAATTAGTATTTATACTTTCAAAATCCTTATGTATTTTAGAGTTGTAAGGTCTGATTCACTGTATGTGTTCAAGTTCGAGTTCATACTATTTGTAGTTCATGTCACATTCGAGTTCAAGTCTTTGTTATCCAAGTCAAGTTTGAATCAGGTCTCGTATTTAATCATTCAAGTTTTCATTTAGTCCATTTAATTGTTCAAATCAAGTCCAAACAAAGTCCACGTTTTTTTTTTGTCCAAGTCATGACCTCGATTCACCAAAAATTTTGGCAGTCTGCCGGCGTCTCCCCCGTTTAGTGAAAATTTTAGGAGTCTGGGCCTCCCGCCATGGTAGAGAAAAGCATGCAAGGTCGGTGTCAGATGACACCAATGCCAAAATCTTCAATCACACCACGCCAGAGAAAGGCGTACATGGGTTTTCAAGAATACCTTTTTAGAAGCGCAATTATTTCCCCGATGGTACTGAGGCGCATACGGGTACTTATATTTTTGTCCCGCTGTGCTAAGAAAAGCGAGCACAAGGGGTTCCTTGGCATGCCGCAAACACGGTAAACAGGACTTTGGGTAGATTACTCACCTCGCCACGAGTACTGCGACGGGCTTCCTCCCACCGTACTAAGAAAAGCGCACATGGATGGTTGCTCCCCGCGCTATAGGCGCCAAAAATGGGGTTTAAAAGTTTTAGAATTTTATACCTACGTTGAGGGGATGACGACGATGTCGGGGCATGCAAATCGAGGTAAACAGTTTTTCTTTTCTTTTCTTTTTTTCTCTTCTTTTTTTTCCTGTCTTTTTTTTTTTTTCTTTTTTCTTTTTCTTTTTTCTTTTTACTTTTCTTTTCTCATCATTTTTTTTTTTTTGTTTCATTCACATATTTCCTACTGTTTGATCTAGTGTTGTGGTGGAGAGTTGGAATGGGTGTGTAAGCGATTGAAAGTGTGGTCTAACGGGCTGATTTGAGTAAGATAGACTATTTGAGTGAACTTGGGAGTGTAGTAGGCTAATTTAGACTAAAGGTTTAGGGTTTAATGGGGTTCGGCAATATGAGATTGGGCTCGATTTGTGGAGGGAAAGGCAGTCGGGTAGCAAGCGGCAAGAGGTATGATGTTAGCAGGATTTCAGCCAAATTTTCTAGATTTTTTTTTTTTTTTGATTTCCTATGTAGGTCAACATGGACCCTAACTACCCATTAGATGAAACCGAAAGTTCAAAGAATCAGAGAAAAACTCTATTGGAATGAACCTAAAATTTAGCCAATAAAGGCATCTTACAATTATCACAAATATGAGACTGATAAAAGTCAAATTTTGACACAGCTCAACTTGGCCTGTTGGTTGAGAGCTTAGGCTTCCAACTAAGAGGCCTTGGGTTCGAGTCTTTATGTATGTGTTGTGTGTGTGAGTTTGCCTTAAATAGCCTAAATGTCCCAAAAAAAAGTCAAATTTCGGCTTCATTTGTGATGGCTTTTTTATTGCTTCTTAAATCAGCTTTTTAATACAAAAATTAAAATTTGTGTACTCTAAAATTATTTTAAGAAGCATTAAGAAAGTCGTCCCAAACAAAACCTTAATAAAAAAATTTAAGTTAAACAGACAGATTTTAAAAGATTTAAAAAATCTCATAAACATTTAGCTCTATGGAAAGGCTGGCATCCAAATAATATTACAATATATGAACATCAACTGTCCAATCCACCATTTATAAACACAGAACTATTCTAGCACCCAATCTCAAGGACATGTAAAAATATTAATGGACATTTTTTTTTAAGAACAAAAAGGATTTATGTAGCCAACCCCATGTAGTGAGATAAAAGGTTTGATGTTGTTGTTGCTATTGTTGTACAAATGGGATACATTATTGCTTTTTTGTCATTGTAACGGCTTAAAATGAATGCATAAGCAAGCAACAGAATACTAATAGATAAGATGAATTTTGTCATTGGCTCTGCAAAACAAATACCTTATTCATCATATTCCATTGGCCCTTTTTTGGCAAGCAACTCTGCTCCTCACCGGTTTCGCTGTATTTAAGCTGCACAATTGGAAGCATGAAACCTCAGAGACTAATTAAATGATATCAACATAATCAGTAATACAATAAACATTACCACTTAAAAGCAGCTTAAAACTTTGTGAATAACTATCTAAAGTGTTTATTCAAAAAAATTTATCTAAATCTTTTATAGTTGTTTCAATTAACTGCAAAAATTCGAAAACCAAAAAATCAACTACAGCTTCATTATTTTGGGAAACTTCTGTAGAAAAAAATGTATTAATTACAGCAACGGCTTAGCTAGTTCAAATAATTACTAAGTTGCTAGTAACTATTTTCTATTCATTTTATTTTAAATTTCAATCAATCTTTTTGAACATACTAATAAATAAACAAAAGAAAAGTATGATATCTTCAAAATAAAATCAACATCCATGATATACTATAATTTATGATTTTATGCAATTTCAAGTTTGATTCCCTTGTCTTCTAATAATTTAAGAAGATGCATTATTCCAAAAAAAAATCTATATAAGCTTATATGATTGTAAGAGTCTATCATAAATCTTTTTTTTTTTTGTGGACATTTAGGCCAATTAAGGCAAATTCACACACGCATCACATACGCAAGACTCGAACCCAGTACCTCTTGATTAGCAGCCAAAACCCTCAACCAACAGACCAAGTTGAGTTACGTTACTTCTATCATAAATCTCACTACATGCAATTAGACTACCTACTTTCTCACTAGTTTTATAAGGAAAAATCAATTTATTTACATACCCGAGGTGCAGGCAGCAGGCGTGCTTCAACTGATGCAAGTTCCCTACGGATTTTAATTCCAAACTCCTTGGCATATGGATCCAAATGGTATTCATTACGATTAACCGTCTAGAAAAGCAAAATTTGGTACTTATAAATATGTCTTATAAAACTAACAAGGATGAATAAAGAAAGGAAAACCACATATCAGAAAGACTTTCTATCATGAAAAAAAAAAGTAAAGAGTACTTTAAAAGAAGAGTTCAATAGAAAAAAGTCATTTTACCCTGATAATATCGCTCTCACGATCTTGTGGGCGCTGGCAGGTTGCCTTTAAAAAAGCAGTTACTTGTTTTCCATTCAACCTCTTAGAATATCTTTGTCCTTTAACAATCTGGCAAACCTAATTACAAACAATACTAGCTATTCAACACCAGCCTTTAGCCAAAAAAAAATATCTAATGTAAACTTCATTATAAACCAAGCACAAACTCCACAAGACTGGACGCATTAAGAATCATTATTGCATCAAGACACAATTAAATAGGCGTTCACAAAGGCATGAATAAATGAGCATACCTCCATGGGAAGATAGTTTGGCCTCTGTTGATTGCCAACTTGAAGACAAGGCCAATTAGGAAGTTGGATAACAAAACCATAAGCATCTTGAAAATATTGTATCACTGTCTTCATTGTGCCTCTCTCATCCACAGAAAAACTATCACCAGCCACAATACAATACTCATATGCACATAATATATAACAACAGAACATCAACGGAATAGAATACTACAGATAATTAGGCAAATACATACGACAGGTCTTTTGTTGCCTGTGGCGTTAAAGAAGCTATACGATATTTTCTACGGGTGTTGCCACGATGTGTAACCTCCACTTTCACACCTCTTAGCGATTTATTCACCTGCAAAAGCAGCCAAACAAGCATGAATTTAATTGAAGCTATAGCGCAGAATGATTATGAATTTGCACTTTCTTTAAGGAAGAATTCCTGAGCTTTCCCAAAAAGGGAACAAAGAGAAAAGAGTAAAAGATGACTCTTGTAGGAAAGATAGAAGAAAAAAATTGATACCTATCACTGTGTCAAATTCATGCTATATAAAACATGACTACAATATCTAACCTAATAGTGAATAGAGATGTAAAAAACAAAATAAAAAAAGTAGGGGAGGAGGAAATTCTTAAAGGCCTCATAATATAACAACAATCACATTTGGAACAAGCTAAAAATCATTTCATATTTGGGAAACTAACCGTAGCACGTTCTATATCAGTTAGCTTTCTATGTTGAACATCTCTAAAATCCCATCTCAAAAGCTTTATTACAAAATCAACAACAGGCGATTCCTCAATGAATGCAGTTGATGAAATATCTGCGTAAGGAAGGTACATATCAAATCAAACATTGACAAATACTAGAGCAAATTATGTAAAAACAAAGATGAATATGCTTATGTGACATGCAGAGCATTTGATAAGCAATACCTAACATTCTAACAGAACATTCTATTTACACAAGATGAAAAACTGTGCATAAGTCTTCACAACCTGCACGAGCAAAAATAGGACTTCCTGTCATATTGGAACAACACGAACAAGTACTTCTTTGAAAAATCTCTGCGACGGATTTGAACAACACCCACTTGTGCTTGGGTTTATAAGTTTCCACATAATGCAAACGGATACTTAATTTTTGAGTTTTGAAATTATACCTTGCACATGAGTTAGTCAAGAATGGGATAAAGAGGGAATTTCACGAGGGGCGAAAACATAAGTTTTACTTTTTTTAATATTTCTATTTAGAGAGAATGGGGGGAGGAGAGAGGAAGGAGGGGAGAGAGGGTGAGAGTGATAGAGAGTGGTAAGGGAAATAGCAAAGAGAATAGTGAAGAGAAAGAAAGACAATGTGAGAGGTTGTAGAGATTGAGGTTGATCTCCCTCTCTATTTAGAGAGAGGAAGGTGGAACTAGGAGTTCGGTTAATGGGTAGAGGAAAGCGGAGGAAGAAGGTGGCCGATCGTTTGGTTGGAGGCCAAGCAGGTAGCATTTTGGTGGTTTAATGATGGTGGTTTGGGGAGGAGATGATGGAAGGAGTAGAGAGAGGGAGGTTGCTATAGGAGGTGTAGTAGCTAGGCGGTGGCGGCGTAGCTCGCATGATAACTGCAACAATGTGGAGCTACAGGCGGGTAGAAAAATGGAGTAGAGAAGCTCGAATATGGTTGTTGGCTGACGCTAGGTGGCTAAGGGAGGCAGATGGTCACGGCGGCAAGGGATATTTTAAATAAATTTATATTGCAATAATTAATCAAATATTAAGATAGAATTACATAATAGTATTAATTAGATTAATCATTAAGGTAAAATTAAATAATTGGTAAAATTAAATTAATTATTATATAATTATATAATTAAAATAATTATAATAAATTATATAATTAAATTAATTATTATAAATTATAACTTTATTATTATATAAAAATAATTAATTAATAATTAAATTCATTATTAATTTTTATATTAGTTAATTATATATTTATAAATTAATAATTATATAATAATTATTAATTTTTATATAATTAAATTATTTTTAGATTTCTTTAATTTAAAACAACCTGTAGAGATTTCACATGAACAAAAAGTAAACTCATCCATAATTTTTTTTTTCGAATTCATTTTCAAAATGTATATTCCACAAAATCCATACACTGCAATACATAACTACAAATAAAAACAAAGCAAAGAAATAAATAACCATGTCTGTACAAAAAATTATAAACTAAAAAGTAAAAAGTACATAGACTAACTCAACTTGCAATCTTAACTACTCAACCATCTCATTACCCTTTCCCTGACCTGAAAAAGAATGTAGAATAGATGTCAACACGCTTAACAAGTCACACTTGCCGATCTTAATTTCTAATAATAAACCCATTATACATGTAGAAATTTGAAAGTAGTTATCAGCGTGATATTATTATGAACAAAATAGTGATAGCAATTAATAGAATTTAAATGAACTTTGTATTAAAAGTAAATAAATAAATACTTCATATAACAAAGCAAAAAATAACAAATTTTTCTCAGACCCTTATACCTCCTATGAAAAACAAATATTAGAAGTCAGGTCCCTAATGACTCCCCCATACTAGCATATCAGAAAACTGACCCTTATGACTCGCAAAATACTTAGCACATTATATATTAAAAAAATTCAGGCTCTTATAACTCCTGCATTCAACATATCTCACATCCACCCAATATCAAAAACTCAAAATAACACATTTCAAGTAGATACACACATAAAAAAATATAAATAAATCAATTTAAGAAATTCACATAATATTTTACTTATAACCAACTGATTCAACAATTGACTATAATTTCAGAGTTTCAAAATTTCACCAGATTGTCAATGAATATTCAAAACATTATTTTGAAGTTTTAGTTATACTACAATATTATTTTCTGCGATCAGAATTATTTTCTAATTCGTCAAAATAGCCCGCTTTTTAAACTACCCAGTGAAATGTTTTAAAAAAAAATATTTAAATGCCCATAACGATCATTATGGGGCTTCGAAAGAGACTTAGGTGGCAGGGAATCATAAAGGAATGGATCATAACATTCTAAAGGACAAACAATCGTAGGCCTTTATGCTCCAATATGAGAATAAATAGAAGAGCAGAATGGTCACACATATGTTTCTCTTTTGAGTATCTTGTAGAGAAGGAATTGTATTATCACGAAGAATAAAAGATAATTTCACTTGAAAGAAAAAATATATGTAACTGAATGTGCCAGAGATTTATCATACACAACACATGGTATTGAATATAAGATTTATTTTATTATTGATAAATAGGTTTCCCATGCGTGCAAATATCTTGGATGAAGGGTTTAAAAATACTCTTGATTAAAGATGTTCATTCATTTTTCCTTTAAGTTTGATACATGAATGATTATTTTTTAGGTTAATTTGTTATTTAAGGTATAAAATTTAATATCCTAAAAGCCTAACAATGACACAAGTCTAAGCTATCAACAAGCAAAATAAGTAGAAAAACCTATAAAAAACATATAGTTTTAGTACGCAATCAAAGTAAACACACCAATCATCATTGAATAAAATAATAAACGAAAAGCTAGAAGTAAAATTGAGTTCCGCAATACACCACTATAAATGAAAAAAAAGTGTAGTTGAGCTCTATCATAATTATAACTTAGCCTAAAACTATACATCAATAAAATGATATTTGAGATCTTGAATGCTTCTATCAACATCTTCATTTGGCCTCCTATCTTTTGAAATTGCCCACATATCTACATAGTTTTCATAAACTAAATGTACATGATTAAAAGAAATCAATTACATATTGCCCTTATAAGAGAAGATAAAGTTAACAAAATAAAATATATTTACATATCATAGAAGGCCTGACATGAATGAATGGCAAACTATATCCTTAGCCTTTATTGGCTATGCCTATTTAGGGCTTGAGCTTATTATAAAAGCACCTACAAGCAAAATAGATTATGCTTTTTTATTAAATTTAACTGCTCCTTTATAGGCATGACCACCTGCAAAGTAAAACAATATATATTTCTATCACAACCATTTAAAGGCAAGTGCACACAATATCAAGTCACAAACCAATAAAGAAATAAACAAAAACAACACATAAAAAAATCACAACACATCACAAATATGAAAAAAAATCCTACCTACACAATAGCCCTATGATGCCCAAGGGATGTGCATATCTCACAATTTAAGTTTGTGCTAAGTCAGTAAGGGTCTCAATCTAATTAAGCATGCCATTTTCAAATTATAAGTTTGATTAAATTTTGTTTGAATTTATTAACCGGGGATGATTTTAATTTAAATAATTAATAATTTAATATCAATTTATTATGTTTTTAATAACTTAAGGGTTTTATTATTAAGGGTTATAAAGAGCTAAAGTGTGATGCATGTACACCACTCGAAAATGAGATTTGTCATCATAAAGTCCCTCAAATCTATACTTACACTATTGTTTTAAAGCAAGATTGTGAAAATGTGAGTGGGCAAAAAATTGAAAGGAGAGATTAAAAATTCAATGTTTCAACCGAAATTGAACCAATGATAGAATAAATATTAAATTATTTAAATAATATCTAAATAATTTAATAATTTTATAATATTATAAATTCTAAAAAATAAAAAAATTATACAGAAATAATATATTTTACAAATTTTAAATTTGAATGTATTAATATTTAAATTTAATTTATATTTAACATAAAATTAGTTCACATATACGTTATAAAATTAGTATAAAACTATTGCTAATTTATTATATATATTTATATATAATTTAAACTAATAAATTATATACAAATTTTACATTATAAAATTGCATCTATAAATTTACGTTATATCATTTATTATTCAATAATAAATAAAAAATTTATTTTTATATTATATAATTAAATCAATGATCAATTAAATAGATTACAAACCTAAATGTTATCAGCTACAAATTAAATATTTTTCACATTATAAACATTAATTAAAAAATGTGTAAAAATATATAATCTATATACATAAGGAAGATGAGAATTTCTTATTAATTTTTTTAGTCCAACATCATTGAGGTACTATATATTTGTATTGTTTATATTATTTTTTTAGCTGACAGGAGACAGAAAGACTGAAAAACTCATGTGGTAAAAAAGATTATTATTAAATTTATTATATATTTTAAAAATAAAAATCTATAAATTTAAATCAATTTATTAAGTGTTTTTATTAAATTTATTAATTTAATTATATACTAGCTCATTTTAAAATTATTTATTTCATATAAAATAAGCCAATCGATTTTTGAAAACCAGTTTGCCAGTTAAAATCGGTTATGACTATTTCATTGCGAAACCGGGCCAGCTAGTCCGAGATTAAAATATAAAATATTGAAAAAAAGCATTGTTACCAATATTCAGTGATAAGCCCATCTGCGTAGGTCTGATGCTTTGATAAAATCCTCTCCAACTTTCCAAACCTTCGCCAAGAGGATTCTTGTGACAAAGATCGGGGGAGTAGAAGGATCGTCCAATAGGATAACACCTAATCATTTTACAAAACAAATAATATTTTGAAACGTTTGATACAATATAGTGTCACTAAATAAATTCATTGAATACCGGCAGTAATTCCGACAGTCTGACCGTCGGTACAAAACCAATTAACCAACGAAAGTTTCGGAGGTCAAACCAATTAACCAACGAAAGTTTCGGAGGTCAAATGACCGCCAGACAAACCGCCAGTATATTCTTACCATGACGCATTTACCAGCCGTTCAACGGTCATTTTTAAGTAAATTATTTCTATCGGTTGAAACCGCCGAAAATGCCTCTGATGAATTTTACCGTCAGAAATATACCACCGGTTTAAATTTTCCACGCAGTTTATTCCAGCGGTTTTTAGGCCTCCGGAAAACAGCATGAAAACTCAGGTAAATTGTTGTATTTCACAGGAAATACCTCCGGTAATGAACAATTTTTCTAGAAAGAAATAATTTCAGCTTGAGCACAAAATAATTACTTGGCAGTGGGCGATTCACGCAGCACAATGTCCAGAATTTGCAGAGCTTCTTGTGGAGCATCTGCTTGCCTCCCAGCCAAGAACATTTTCAGCTGATGAAGATCGGTTCGAGCAGCAAGTTTAATGACAACTTTGAAATTCCTCTGCCGCCTATTTTATTAGCATATTGAGCATATCAGCAGGTCAAAATGGAAAACTAGAATCAACAGTACTAGGCTACTTGTGAAGAAAAAGACCTTGCAGCTCCAGCACCATCATCTTCATCAACTAAAGTAATTTGAAATTCTTTAGAAGTAAATGGCAGTGAGCCAGCAGTATAAAGGCTCTTCCTGCCATCATAAACAGGAAGGCGGTCTCCCAAATGGGAGGCTTTAAACATCCTTACAAGTTCTTTGATGACAGATCGGTTAACCCTACGAGAAGAAACTTCTGGTGTAATGGAAACCTGTCCGATACAAGCAGGAACTACTGAGAGCATATATTTGGTGAAAGCACAGTATTTTGAAGGAAAAAATGGTAAGTCTGTAAATTCAAATTTTGACCTGAAGAGTTAAAACTCACATCATATTGATAAAAATCCCTGTCAGTGAGCTCAGCAATGAAATGGTTGGCCTTAACCACACAGCTTAGACCACTGCTGCCTTTGCCTGGGCGCAAAGGAAACCGTAGTTGTTTGCTCGACGCTGGAACAACAGCCTTACTAATTGCTGGTTCAATCTGAAGAGAAAGCTGTTGAAGCTGCTCCGTCGGGATTTCAGAGGGCCTCGATGAGCTTGCCTCTTCAGATGGAGTTTGTGACGTTGCTTGTTGCAACTTGGGAAGCGGCGGCCTAGACGTTTCAGCTGCAGATGGGCCAGCGCCACCACCAGATGGATAAGCACCACCTTGCCGACCACGTAGGGTTTGCCGGCCACCACGGCCCTGGCCGTGATAACCTCCACCAAGACCCTGATAACCACGTCCACGTCCTCCTTGCTGTTGAGGATTAGCACGAGCCCAGTCCCTTCCAGACTCACCACATTGCTGCAAATCTGGATTGTAATGAGCTCCACCCTCTTGCTGCATACCTGACGGGTGCTGAGCTCCACCTCTTCTAGCACCAACAAATTCTCGGGATCCTGATGAGCCCTCACTGCATCCATCACCAGGACCAGGAAGTACAGTTCTTCCCTTTCTAACCATGGCTGCAACTACAATTACAAACGCAAAAATAATATATTTTTACCATACAATAATAGAAAGTGTATTTATTTACATACATATCATTTCATATCATGCTATTTACATATCTAATATCTAAAACTTCAATATTTCATCACTATCACCCATGAATCAAATATAGGTGCAAGAAATGAAATATTAAAATTTATAGGATGATATGAGTGATAGGAATGAAATATATCAGTGACAAATTTGATATTAAAGTTTTCTATAGGTGACAGGTATGAAAAATTAAAATTTTGAATGTTAGATATATAAATGTCATGTTATAAAATAGTATGCATATAAATTCCTCTAATAAAAAATAAAAACATTATATCATGTAAGATGAATACACCCTGCATGACAGCATAAGAGCAAAAGAATAGCATACAAGGAATTTCTGAACCATAAGAATACAACAAATACAGATTTATAGATAACAATTCATTGATGGAGAATAGACAAAGAGACAACCGGAAATAATAATAAATTTTTGCAACAGCAGCTTCATGATTAGCTGCAAACAGAAAGGAGACTACATCGAAGTCAAAGTTATAATAATAAGTTGGCCCCTCTGTGAATTTTATTTAAAAAAAAAAAAGTTCAAGACTAAAAACTTCCATCCATTGAACTGACAACCTTGCACCACAAATTCTTTAATAGGCCCATTGCACTGTAAAATAAATAAGAACTAAAAAGTGCTATAGATTTCAGGTAGTATTATTTTTATAATTAATATGTTGCTAGTCTGCTAAAAAGTGCTAAAAAGTGAGAGCCGTGATAGTTCCTATAGCAAAGTATTTTATTAATAACAACAACAACATCATCAAGCTTTTATCCCACTACGTGGGGTTGGCTACATGAATCCTTTTTCTCCATTGTGTCATATTAAAAGTCAAATTCTCGTTTAAATCTAATAAAGAAAGGTCATTCCTAATATTTTCTAACCAAGTCTTTTTAGGTCTACCCCTAACTTTTTTAACATAAGTCAAATCTAATACCTCTACTCTCCTAACTAGGTTATCGGAAGGCCGCCGTTTTATGTGACCAAACCATCTAAGGCGACTCTCTCTAATCTTATAATAATTTTTATTAATGTATATAATAATTTTTAAAATCTCATAAAATTATAATTATTAATGTGAACTCAAAATATTTAGTAAAATTAGAATATTTTTACTTTACTCAGCATACACTCAACCAAATAACATTTCAGTATTTAGAATGCACTGCTTTTATTTTACTCCGCATACATCAAACCAAACAGAAAAAAATTAATTCTCTTGCATTCACTTTACAGACAACCAAACAGCTTTAATGTATTTACAACCAAACAACTTCAATGCATTTACTTTATCTTGTATTTACTTCACACTGTATTTAAATTACAATGAACAGCCACATAGTAGCATGGAAAAGTAAACCAAAAATTAAAAAAATTCTCCGGTAGGCCTGCATAAAAGGGACTACAATGTTTAGCCAAGGGAAAATCAGTAATCGTGATGCCGTTGGAATCGCAAACCCTATAACAAACAAGAAAGGATCCCACTGTAAGAAAAATTAAGGTGGAAAAATGCATAAAAAGAAGACAATAACTCAGTTGAATGATTAAACATTGCAAGTCAATAAAGCATCAAAGCACATATAGAGAACATCATATGTCTGAATTATTGGAGTTATTAAGCTTAAAGATGTTACCTTATCAATATTATCACATGTGATTAATAGTTATGGTAAGAATTTGTTGTATTTATTATAGTAATATACCTTCATTATTAATGATATTTTCTTTCAGTATATTTTTCTTGTTGCTTTTCTCTTGCCTGTATATAAATACATTAGAACTAGCATCAAATGTAATCAAGGACAAATATAGCATTTTATGATTTGTGACATGAAATGAGAGTCTTCCATTCTTCCACCTTCTCCTCCTCCATCGAATGATCATTAATTATACTGTTAGTCTCACAGGAATTCTTTTCAATTCAATTTTTTGGGGTTTTCTTTTGTGGATTTTATACTTGGTTCTACTGCTTTGGTTCCACTCATGGATCTTCTCTAGATAAGGAGGAGGTATTTGTCCTATGTCCCACTTAAATTTTATTTGGGACAGCTTTCTTATTGATCTCTAAAGCCTCTTTTCAATACAAATTTTAAAAAAAAAAAAATTTGAAACTTTTGTACTAGAAAATTGTTTTATAAATCAGTAAGAAAGCTGTTCAAAATGAAGTTTTAATTCGGTATCTTTTTGCAAAAGAAAGATTTGCCTCTATTTCTCTCAATTTTGCTTGGTTTCATTGCTTTCATTTGTTTAGGCTCATTGCAACTCTTACCAAGTAAAGAAATACCACAGTGTTTATTTGATTTTTTTTAGCTTTCGTTTGGTTTTCCTCGTCTCTATTGACTCTTACCAAGATGCGATTTGCCATCAGCTTTTTGCAATTCTGCTTTTTGATTGGCGAACTATCGAATGTTTATTGCAACCACATCACCACTTTGTTGGAATGTTAAAAATATTAGAGTTATTATATTCAAATATTATCTTGTCAATGACGTTATCACATATCGTTAATAATTATAATAGGAATGTATTATATCTATTATTAGGAATGTATTATATCTATTATTATAATATATCTTTATTATTACAAATATTTCATTAAATATATTTTTCTTATTGCTTTATTCTCATATCATTAAATAAGCATATTTATAACAGAACTAAATTTAATCCAGCAAAGATGAAATCGTTTATAATTTATAGCAGCATTAATTAATCAGATCACATAAAGAAGCATTGCAAAAACACCGCAACCAAATGATTACAAAGTGAAAAAAAAATTAAATATTATATTATCAATATTATCGCATATGAATAATAATCATATTATCAATATTATCACATATGAATAATAATTACAATAGGAATATATGATATTTCTTATTATAATGTACTTTCATTATTAAAAAATATTCTTTATATAGTACTTTCCTTATTGCCCTCTTCTCCTATATATAAATAAGCATATTTATACCAAAACCAAATTTAATTAAGCAAAGATCTAGCTTTTTATGATTTCTAGAGCATGGATTAATCCACAAAAATACGACAAGCAAACAAGCAAAAAACAAAAACATTTCAAAATATGATCTCATCAATAATATCACACATGGTTAATAATTATGATAGGAATTTATGATATTTATTTTTTTAATATACATTAAAAATTAAAAATATTTTATTTATTATATTATTTTAAAAATATTAATTATTAAAAACATTTGAATCAATTGAGCCAAATTCAAACACATATCAAATAAGTAAGTTTCCAATCTAAGATCTTTTGATTGATAAGTTCCCCAATTATTGCACTCTCATTAGTCTTCTCCTATCATTAAATAGGCATATTTACACCATAACTAAATTTAATCAAGCAAAAAAGGTAAACTTTTATGATTTCTAGCAGCGTGAATTTAATGAAATATAAATATAAGCATAGCAAAAGTAACCAAACAAACGATCAGAAAAGAAAAGTCAAAAGCACTTCAAATAGTAAATCATAAATTTTCTCACATCTAGTTAGCAGTTATGGCAAGTATTAATGACATTTATAATTAGCATACATCTTCATTAATATTAAAAATATTTTCTTTATACAGCTCATCTTGGTATGTTGTTTGAGAGCTTAGGCTACCAATCAAGATGTCTTAAATTGAGTTTGAATCTTGTATATATATGATATGTGTGTGAGTCTGTCTTAATTTCCCTAACTGTCGCCCCCCCAAAAAAAATTATTTCTTATACTTTCAATATTGCTTTCTTCTCATATCTTTAAACAGGCATATTTATATCAGCGCTAAATTTAACCAAACAGAGAGGTAGCCTTTATGATTTCTGGAAGCGTGCGTTGATGAAATCTAAAAAAAGATGCAGAGCAAATACATTGCAACCAAAAGATAGGAAAACGCTAACACTCTAAAAAGAGTGGCAGACGATGTAATCGCCGGTAAAATCACAGCATTTAGAGCATCGGACGAAAAAGCCCAACCATAGCAAAACGCAGCTTCATCGCAAGAGAAAACAGAGGAAGAAGCAAAGCAACTTACTACGCCGGAAAAGTGTTCTGGGTATTAGCTAAGACCGCCTCTTCTCCGCCGGAAAACCCCTTGGCCTTTTCTCAGTCACCTTTTGCGACTATAAAAAGTAGGGAGGGGAGACTGGGAGCTGTCACGATCAGTTTCGCTCTCCTCGATATTGGATAGGCTAAAAATTATGGCCGTCTAGGGCAACCAACAGGCCCTATATGAAGGCAAAATTTTTCCAACGGCACTTCATAATAGGAACAGATTTTTTTTTAAAATATTTAAAACAAAGACTCGGTTGTCCGTTGCCCGTTATTCGCTCAAGCGCGGCATAATCTTCTTACCATTCTGAATCAAATTTCAATTAATTCAAAATTTTATAAAGTTGATAATTTTTTTAAAATTCTATTTTTGACTATAATATGTTTCCATATTAATAAAGAACATAAAATAAATAAAATAACACTCAATTTCATTTGTAATAATTTTTTTATCATTTTCTAAAGCAACTTTTTTTAATATAATTTTTTTCAAATATACTAAAAAATTATTTTATAAAGCAATACAAAAACTTTCCCAAATGAAGCCTCAATTGTCATATTGACCGTGATTTGTTACATGTTTTCTAGGACTTTCAATAAATTTATATTGCTAGGCTATATATAAAATAGCTGTAACTAAGAAGATGATATGAAAATATATATTTTTTATGTTTAGTTCATGCATATCAATGTATCAAAATATTCAATTTAATAGGTGATAAGTTCCCTTCTCAAATATCAAAAATCTAAAAATAAATAAAATTTTATAAACTGAAGTGTACTAATTATTAACTTCAAAGTACATTTATTAATTATTTGCTTTAAATTATTATAATCTTTCACAAAATCTGACAA